ACCCGGAAAAAAAACTGAAACGAAGCTCCTGATTATAATTTATAAGAAATTCTCTTTTTTAACCTAAAAGGTGAAAATTTAACATAATATTTCTCATTAGTTTATCTACTATTATCAAAAAAAAATGTGTACTGGAAAGTTATAAACTTAAAATAAATCATTATCCACCTATCAAAATCTTACACTAAAAAAAATTTTTTTCATTGTATTTAATTTGGAACATAATATAAAATTAGCAAGTAATACAATTTAAAATGGTTTTTATTAATATACAATTAATTACAAGGTACGATTGGTTTAAAAATTTTTTTTGTTCAATAAGCTATAATTTAATTTAAATTTTTTTGTTACGCAAATATTAGTTACCTACTATACATTTATAAATATTGTCATTTAATTTATTGATGTCAAGAAATGTTTACTGGAAAGTGAGATTACATTTTTATGAGCGTTTGAAGTTCAAATATTTACAATATTGGATATTCACTATAGATTTCTCCTGTAGCGATTTTCTTATTTTGTTGTAATTCAAAAACCAATAACCGTAGATACTTCAAATTTACACCCTATGTTTATTTTATCAATTTCTTTACATGATGAAATTCATCCTGATAAAAATAACAATGTTTTTGAGTTCAATACAATTATTTATAATTTCAATTAAAATATTAAGTAATAGTATATTGGCCAATAGTTGTTTTTTTTATTATTTCATACTTATTTTTTATATAATGCTGCCTTTGTAAATGGCTCACAAATTTATTTTCAAAAAAATAATAACATGATATTTAAATAATTAAAATTACCTAATATTTAATAAATCAATGAGATCAAGAATATATGCAAGGTTTGAAATTCCTAACAAATTAAATAACTGTTAATCAATATTTTTTTTTTTTACATAAACATTTACGCTACAAAGTCAGTACACAATTTTTTTAAAATGATAATAAAAATTTGAAATTAAATTAAATTTATTTCAGAAAAATTTGAAGTAAATATAATTTTTAGGCTAATTTGGTAAAAACGTTTATTTAAATCAAGTAGTTTGTTTTTTTAAATTTTTTAAAATATCAATATATTTTGAAGTAAATTAATTTGAAACGTAATAACTTTTTTTTAAATATTTTTTTTATTTTTCATATAATTTTCATGACTTTTGTCATACGTATCAATATTGGTATCAATTTTTTTTTTATTATAATCAGGTCTTCCTGTTACACCCTATATACTTAACTCGTTAGATTTATGTTTTTTTTTTATTTTAAATGTTGTTTTGAATAATTTATTAGAGTTGGTGCGTGCACTGTGTTGAAAGGTTTGTGCCTTTATATACCGAAAATGATTAACTACCACGTATTAAATTTATTTCCTAACAGAGTTATAGATTTTGAGAATATTTTAAACCATTTTTTTATTATTTCCTCAATTCCTTCCAAAATAAAATATGTTTTCTTTTTAAAATTCCTGAAGTACAATTTATATTTTATACCCAACTTATATATTATTATAAATTATGATACGATAATATTTATGTTTTATACTTCAAAATCTTGTGTAGAAAACTTCAAAATAATAAAATACTTTATATACAATTTTAAATAAAAACTGCGAGTCCACAAATAAAAAAAAAAGTATTGTCTTTTTAATCAATAAGGTATTGCAGGACACAGGTTAGTAAATAATATAATATTATACCTAGCATTATAATAATTGATGGTTTATTAAGTATAGGTACCTACCCATATATTTTATAAGTGCGTAGTTTGTATAAACACTACACTGCAGGTATTAAAATCTAAAATGTTAAAATGTTAAATGGGGTCAATTCTAAAAAAATATATTTTCCCCATAATTTAAAAAAGAAAAAATATAAGATCTTACTTAAAAGTTTATGATAAAAACTAAAAAATATATTTCACAAAAAAAAAATAATTTTAGCTCAATATTTGTTGATGAAACACTAGTTCGAAGTTTACAAGTGTCCTCCTCTTTCCGCAAACTTGACATCAATAAATTAAATGACAATATTTATAAATGTATAGTAGGTAACTAATATTTGCGTAACAAAAAAATTTAAATTAAATTAACTAGGTACCCATTTTTAACCAATAGGTGCTTATGCTTAAAACCAATATTAATCAATAGTTTTAGAATGATTTTAATATTTATGTGATACCTTCAGAAACACGAATATGATTTGAAAAATACAATTATTAGAACAAAACAATTATTATAATAGCTTATTGAACAAAAAAATTTTTAAACCAATCGTACTTTGTAATTAATTATATATTAATAAAAACCATTTTAAATTGTATTACTTGCTAATTTTATATTATGTTCCAAATTAAATACAATGAAAAAAAATTTTTTTAGTGTAAGATTTTGATAGGTGGATAATGATTTATTTTAAGTTTATAATTTTGCATTTTACAATTCTAAAACTTTAAAAATACTTTTACAACCACTGCCCAAGGCATTTTGAATTCAAGTTTTCAACAAATTTAACCTTTTGTACTAAAAAGGAACAAAAAAGTAACATAAGGGCCACTGTACAAATCGATAAATAAAGTATTTGTTTTATTTAATTTGTTAAAAACTCTATTTTGTAAGTTTTTTCAATCTACTCAAAAAAACTGAGAAAAAGATTAAATTTTAAGAAAATATTTAAAACTAAAACCCTTCGTCTAAATAATCTAGCTCCTATAGCTCAAGAAAAATTCAAATGATATTACAATTACAAATGATAATTAATCATTGAGAATATTAAATCTTAATAATAATTTTAATACATTTTTCTGTTACCTATTCAAATTCTTACATTTTCCAGAAAATAATGGGTTCGTTCTAAAAATTAGTTTTTTGAACTTTGAAGTATACTGCCATTTTGTTGAGTTTATAGTTTTATACCTCCTTCTTTTTATAATGGCTTTATATAACTTTCTATCAGAATATACCCTTAGTATCACCTACAAATAAAAAAGATAATACAAAAATATATGTATATATAAAAACTTTTAAAAAACTTGTGATATTATACTATATCTAGTAAATAATATTGGTTTTTATTTTACAATTCAGTCACAAATTACGTAACAATAAGTTAATTTAGCGTACATTTTATAGTCTTTATTCAATAAAATAACTACCTCAAACTCTATTAAATGGTTGGTTTCATATTGTTTCAGACCTGTACCCAATAATGTTCCATGCGTTTTATTGTCATATTTAGAAAGTTTGTAAATATAATTCCTTGTAAAACTTATATTAACTATACATGACATAGGTTGTATATTATATTCTGTATATATATATATATATAAATATATAATATATATGGAATATGTAATATGTGTACATATTATGTACCCATTTGTGTGTACAGCTTCCCTGCACAAATAAATTTGAAGAAAATGTTTTCCATTATAAATGTCAAATACTTACACAGGATCGATTACGTAACTGGGTTCTGTAGTTTTCTTTTGCAAACCCAGTGAACCAAAATAATTATCCCATGTCAATCAAAAAAATAACAATACAAATACACGTGACAAAATAAGTTCCTTTATGTAATCATTTTATACAATTAATTTATGCATTTGTGTAAGGATTCTCGATAAATATTTTCTATTATTATACAGTTTGATACAAGTCAATTGTACCGTTGTATTATTAATTATTATTAGTTATTACTATAACCAATGTCAACAAAGAACACATTTTATGACTTATACACTTTAAAGACATTGTACTGAAATTATTATTACTAATTACACTTTAAAATAATTTAACTAAATGTATCATAAGAATTAACAATCCAACATTATGTATTATCAAATTATATTTTTAGAAAATTGTTACAAACTACTATAATAATAGCCTTTTGAGATGACAGAATTGTACCTAATTGTAATTCTTGATACAAAATCTATATCTCAAAAAATAATACTATAAAACCTTTACTCACGTTTTTAAAAATATATGTTTGAACATGATAAGTATGATCAACTGATATTATAATTATTTATTGAATGAGATACTAATCTCCTTTCGCAAATTTTTAATCAACCTTCATATTTTATTTTAATAACATAATAGATAATATATATGCAATCCCTTATTTGCGTAAACACGTGCGAACTCTGATTCAAAGACGTAAATAGGGTCTCAATGTTGGGCGAGCCCAAAAGTTCAAGACAAAATATGGAGATTTTTTCCTACATACTTACACCATTATACCGATCACGACTACAAAATTAATGTTAAATTTTTGATTTAAAAATCACAAGTTGTATACAGTCATACCTTTTAAGAAATAATATTCAAATTAAAATTATAATAATATTAATTGTAAATCTTCTTCCTCTCGAAGTATTGATACAATTGGTAGATAATTCTCTTTCTATAGTATTATAAATTTAATACTTAATTATATAACTTTTCAATGTGGACCTTGAAGTATTTATTCTTCTCATAGAGGAAAAATACCTCCATGTTCGGCTATAGTACAGCTTGATCTATGAATAATAGACAACCATGTTTTTACTTGCATTCATGATGATGTCCGGTTCAGTGTCGATGTAATGCCAACCACGTACGCACACGTCAATATATATGTATGATGCGTTTGAGCGCTGGCCTTTAAACAACCTCAATGATCATCGAAACTATCTTTAGTAAAGAACATGGTAATTATACTAATAAACATATAAAAAGACCTAAATATAAATATTTTAGAAGCTTAGATGCCTCAGGTAGGGTACCCCTAGCCCCCCCTATTACGTCATGCCTTACACAAAGTATACTCAGTTCAGTAAAAAAACGGTTTTCATTGTTATACTATATGTATACATTTCTGTGTCAACTTCATTTATAGACTATTAAGTAAACATACTCAAGTATGGTATCGCAACTAAAAAAGTAATTTTTTAGTGTCGTAACTTATTTTAGTTAATGCCAATTAACGTCATTTAAATGTTATTTTATTCTAATTTTAGACTGTATTAAGAATCTGGAAGACTGCAAAGATAAAATATGGAAGAAATGCAATGTGACCAGTTCAGCGGACCATTCACCACACCCTTCATGGGATAATGTATGCGTTGAACAACTTGTGTGGACATTCAATATACATGCATACGGATTTGCTTGTCTTTTTTTCATTTTATCATTCTATGCCGTTTTTTCAATTTTAAACATCAGGTAAGCCTATACTAGGTATATTAATCTTTAACATAGGTACCCCTCAGTTGCATTTAAAAACTAACTTCTATGCTCAGTAATCATATTTAGGATGTATTCATCATCTCATACAAAAAACTTGGTAAAAACTAGAAATTAAATCTAAAAGTTTAAAAAAAAAATAAATACTTATACTAATACAAAAAAATACCTAATTAAGGTAATCTTTGCTGTTATTTTTGTTGATTGATAAAAATTTGAAATAGTTATTTTCTAAATTACCCACTAGCTGTGTTCATTTAAAAAATGTGTAGAGGAGCTATTTATAAAACTATTTGAGCACGTTTGTCGTTTACTATCTCAACAATTGTTTTGATAAACAAAAAAAATGAAAAACGTCATATGTAAAAACTATAATAGCTACCTCCACTTAGAAAACACTAAAAATAAATATTGTTTTTACTCTCTCGTACAATATATTAAAAGAGACATACATAATAATATAATATAGAAGACCCACGCTTAACTTTGTTAAGTTAGTAAATGTGTATCATAGGAAGTGACACTTTTACCCCCCCCCCCCCTCACATTTGAACTTTTTATTTTTGCCTATATTATAATATTATATTAAAAAAATTGATTTTACAAAAGCCCTATACCACCCCCGCCCCCTCATATAAAATGTCAGGCTACACCACTGATGAGAACTGAGAAGTGCACATAGTTGTATGTTACATGAATACTTTAATTTATTTACCATCTATTTACATTAAATTCTTAAAAAGTGTTTTTAACTATATTATATGTTAATATATTTTTATTCGTTTTAATTAAAGATCACAAACAGCTAACAAAAAACCATACATGGCAGCAATTAATGCGTTATTACTGGCTACAGGTATTTGTAGGGCGTTTGTGTTATTTGTCGACCCATATAATACAAGACGAGTAAGTCGATGTCAATTAACCATGTGAAAACATACTTAAATTATAATGTTTCAGAACATTTCATCCGTTGTCACACATTTGACATGGGATCTTGGCTTATGCAGCTTAGTGACAGCCCTGTCTTTATTACAATTAGCCTATTTACAACTAACTCAAGTACGTTAAATTTAAACACAATATCAACTTTTACAAAGAAAATCATATTTTCAAATTTTGTTTTAAATATAGTTGCAAGCGGGACCATCAAATATGAGACGTAAATCAGTCGTAGTGACAGCTACTGTATTAATTGTTGGAGTTCTTGTTCCAGCAGATATAGTTGCATCCGTTGATTACAAATTATGGGTATTTTATTAACACTTTAAAAATAATTTCCTACAAATAATAACATCAAAAATTACTGTAATAATAGGTTTTAGGTAATGCTGTGCGTATTCTTTTACATATTTGGGGTATTTGGCTTTGCTGTTTCTTCCTTTACTTAGGTGTTAAAGTAATGACACTTGTTAAGCGCATGCCAAAGTCGGTCTTACAAAACTTTGATTCACGACACAAGGGTAAGTGTGATATATTTATACCTCGATAATTATAATATATATAATTAAATACTTTAACTTTTTAACAAGTTAATGCCCACCCTTGTGTTTTTCTAACATTTTGTGGTTAGGGTGACCCAAGTAAAACTGGAAGTGACCTGTATTAACCCAAAGCAACTCACTTGACTCCTGGAAAAATATTTTTTTTATATTTAATTCTAGTAGGTACTCACTTTGTCAGATAAAATCTTAGACTCATCTACAATTATATGAAAAGAGCAGTCACAAAATTAAACTCCCAGTAATTATATTATAAATTCACGGAAATGAACAAAACAATGTTGTACCTATTAAATTTTCCTTACTTCTGAAATTGTATTAGCATTTTGTGAATCGTGAAATTAATCTTAGGTAAGTACTTACATTTAATTATCCAGACTTAAAAATGTAAATTAAAGGTTTTAAAAATAAAAAAAAGCATAAAATAATTTCTAAAAAGTAGGTAATAAGAATATCATGGAATATTACAATAAATTATAATATAAATATAAATATATATAAATATTATAATTATGTATTATAAATATTGATAGTTAGTATTAATAGTTAATATTTATAATACATAATAAGTACCTAATAAGTAATAACTATAATAATATATATATCTAAGAATAAATTGTGATACATATTATAATAAATTAATAAAATAACTTGTTAAATTTATCATGTAGAATATCGAATATTTCATATTTGTATGGTATTATTTTAAACAGGTATAATGCAATTAGGAATATTAGCCCCATACAATAACTTAGCTACCTCAATGGCCGCTGCATTCGTACCAGCACTATTAGTTCCACATCAATCGAAATCAGATTCCAAAGATAGGCCCAGTAAGTTTGATTAAAATAAAATAAATTTTAATTGAAAGTTTTATATTAATATCAATTGATGGAATTAAGCTGTCAAGATAACGGCGCCATCAGAAGTTGCCAATAGCTTTAATAGAATGAATCGGCGAGCTAGTAGTTTCGTGCAAAGACAAAAAAGATCTGGATCAATTATGTTAAGCCCAACTACACCTTCAAGAAGATCTAGTGAAGTTCAAAGTATCATTCAAAGTAATTGTCTATCTAATATAGTTTATATTATAATATACAATTTGTAATTGTATTACAAACATAATATATGATCATCGCAGAACGACTGAGTTGTGTGGAAGGAAGTAAGCAATTTCTGGTATTAAGTCCTAATAACAATGCTAGCGACAGTCCAGAACCAGAAGAAAGTTCATGGCGTAAGAGTTTCGCCAAATCAATATCATGGCAATTCCCAAAAACTGGAGAATCCGGTATAACAAATGATACTTCACCAACAACTTCGTCATCGTTACTCACGCCATTACAAGTAAAACTCACATATACAAGTATACAACACATTATTTTAAATACCTATATAATTTGCTTATGGTACATCACATTGATGGCAAGTTAGCTGTTCTTTTTGGTCAAAAATATCAGAATATGTGAGGCGGGTACGGGCCATTTTTGCTCTGTTAGTAACAATATCTACTAGGTATTCAAAATGAAGTGTTAGTCGGGATTGTCATTTTTTAACGGGTTTTTTAATATATTTTTTTAATTTATTGTCTGTTGTCTAATCCTATTATGATTTCCACTGCTGAGTGATGATATGGTTGATTAGGTATTCTTAATAGATAATATTTGTACGTTAGTAAATTTATTTCCAGTAGGTATCGTATTCAGTAAGGTTAGGGGGTTGTAACCTCCCCCTCCAAAATTGTTAAATAATAACAACATTTGTATTAATAAATCATTTTCAGATAACATTTGTCAACAATTAACTTTACCTCCCCCCACCAAAAAATAAATAAATAAATACGCCACTGTTTATTTCAGTTGATTCCAAGGATGGATTTCATAAGGAAGGAAGCTTGGTTTTCTTATAGGACATCCTTCATTACCAGTAATACCTGCAGTGTGTGAAGGGACATAATCTCAGTAATACTATTTCAGTTGATCATAATGTTGAGTATCTGTTGGGAGATTTCATTAGACAGATTATCTGATAGTAGAGAAGTTATGGCTCTAAGAAAGTAACTTATGACGAGCGTTTTATTTATAGGAATGGATTTATTCGGCTTAGACAATTGCTACTTTGATGGCAATGATTTCTGATACTGACGTCAATAGTGTAGTTTTTCGACTCTTTTTGACTAAAGATTAAACTCCACTAACCTATGTACAATGAAGAACGACACATCTCAAGCATAGACCTATTAATAGGTCTATGATCTTAATAGCCAACCCATCACATGGAGGAAGCGTAGGTGAAACCAACGCAGATGATATTTATAATATACTAGACTTATAAATCAATTATAAATAAACAATTCAAATGTAAATATTTAGGTACCTACTTATGTTTACTCTTAGTATCGTATTCACTATTATTTATATATAAAATAATAATTAGTATGTTTAATTTTAGACCCATATAAAACTTTATAGGACTAATAAAACTTATAGAACTTTGACTAATTGTCAAAGCTTATTCTTCCTAATATAAAAAAAAATTTACTTAGATATGATTACAATATTTATTACTTTCAGCCACAAAGAAGTTTTAGACTTAAGTCTACCGGTCAAGCTGATCAGGAAACCAGGCCTACAACCAGACATTCGAGCAGTTTTTCAGATTTAGTCAGTATTCAATTATACGCGTAAAATATAGACCTTACAGTAACTGACATTGAAACGTAACACTTGTCATATTATTTTAGAGTTCTGAAATGACCTTAAGTACGATATTAAATCATATTGCATTTGTAAATCGAGGAAATGGAACAGGAGATGCTAAAATGGACAACGTTCGGAGACGTGCTTCTAAAGTTGCTATTACTAAATCAGAAATCGTTTTAGTGATAAAAACCGTACATGTCTGTGCAGGACTGGCAATGTTATTATGTTTTTTTAACTTTGCTACAGATATTAATTTGATTGGTGAGTATTAGGTTGTATTAATATAAAGCATGCTAAATGTATAACCTATATTTAGAATAATTTACTACATCTACTTAGAGTGGCTAATTTTTTTTAAGGATAAAAAAATAAAATGTTATACGTAATGGGTAATATAATTTAACATATAAAACATAAAAACCGAAAAATTGAATTACTACTGTAAATTAAACGTATTTTTACAACCTTGCAACTGTGTTATTCCCCCAAATGAATAAATAATACGTATAGTGCTCGAATTAGGAGGACGATGAAACTCCTTTACTTTTTTTTATATCTTTAATTTGAGAACACCCATAATCCATTAGTCCTTACTGATTGTTTCGGACGTTTAGGTAATAGATACAATAGAACGTGGAAAAAAACACTCTTTTTTACAAAATATTTTTAACATACTTTATTTTTCTAATTTTAATTTTATTCTATTAAATAAAAAATTAAAATTAATTTTAATTTTATGAATTATACCACTTTTTTTAAGGCTTTGACGACTGATGTCATTAGTCTGTAAGGTGGGGTAGAGTTGATCTGGTAAGTTTGGAAAGGTTGGTACGGTTGGTTAGGAACACATGTATATGTGTGGCCAGATTTTTGCACCCTACGAAGCCGGGTGGTCGCCCATCCGAGAACTAGTAGCGGCGGCCGTTGCTTACTCTCAATCACTTAGCGTGATTGTTTTCAGCCACTGCGCCTCGCCAAGCCACATAGTGTATTTGTTTTAATTAATGATATTACCTACATACAAATTATGAAATTTAATTCAATTTTAATTTAAGTATGTATTTAAATTAAAATTGATAAAATTAATATACATTTAACTAATTACAATTATTTTTAATGAGAATAAATTAGGTACTATCGTTCAAAAATATTTATTTTAATCGCACATAAGTTGTCGTTAGGTTAGGCATATTCTTATATTTTAATTATTTGTTGGAGGATAACCGATTGGGGTTGTGGTGGGTGTCAAAAACTTTGGTTTTATTTTTTTTTATGGGAAGGGGTTGAGTTCCAACATTTTAGGAGACACTAATTTTGTCAATTCCATAAGGGGTCTCCCTTATTTAATATTTCCATTTTGAGCATCGATAATCCCTAAAAGATATTATATAGTTGAAACTTGAAAGTCCTTATATATATGTAGGTACTATGTAGGTAGGTAGGTACTCATTAAGCAGATTTAACATCACAGTAAATAATAATATAACCTAATCTACAAATATATATCTAAATCGATAGATATTATTATTATTTTTTGACGATTCATATTGAAGATTTTCAAGAAGAAAAATTCGATACTTATTGATATGGAATAGTTACGTACCGACAGGAATAGTTACGTACCGGCTCGTATCGAAGTCTGAGTCCGGTACGTATAGCTTGTATATTGCACATGTATCTAACTTCTTGAACGCTCTTGAACTCAAATTTCTTCCTTGAAAATCATGATTAATTCATACAATACCTAATATTAAGTTAAGCTAATATTAATTTAAACATTGATAAATAAATTTAGGTATGTAGGTACCTAAATTGTTTTATGTTGACTTACTTATAGTAGATGTTAAGATTTAAGACATGAATAACCCCATAAGGCAATCTTAAATTTCAGAAATAACATACAATTATAATTTGTCTAACAATATTATACTGTTATTTTTTAGGAGTTTACTCATACGACAAACCATGGTGCTGGCTAATAGTGCAAAGTGTGGTACGAGTTTTGGAATTATCGTTGGCGTGCATGTTAGCCAACCTAACAAAACAACCAGTGAACGTTATACACCACACTCAATATACGCATCCGTTGAGAGCGAAACTTCGAGGGTCATTTTTCATTTAGGCCCTGAAAATCTAAAATAAAAAGGGTTAATTTTATGACTTAAAAAATAATACAATCACTGAGTTAATCTTAAGTCTGACAGGAGTACTACGCAAATGAGATCGGGACCATTATTTCAAACGTGCAATAATACAGATTTTACAATAACACATTTTACATTAATACATAAAAGGTACTTATAAATTTTATAATATTACCTTTATGACTTATTTACTTGAGATATTATTATTTGATTTGTTTTCTATTATTATTCACTTGAATGTTTTTAACATTATTTGCGCAGTATTCCTTAAGAAATATGCAATCGATCTTATTTTTAAATTTTTCCCTAACTCACCTTACACATATATTATATATAGGTATCTATCACCTATACACACGAATATCTTTATAAAAAATAAATATACAATATATATTTCATTAGTGGTGTAGGTATATTTTTAGAAATTAAACTACTTTATTTTACACTATAAACAATATTAAGTACCTATCAGCGAATGCATTCGGGAAAGAAATCTGAGTTACCAAAAATATTTTATGTTACCTATTATAAATGCGTATGTTATACCTATAAAGCGGGTGTGTGTAGTAGACGATTCGGATTCACTAAGCATATAATATTATGTACCATGTTAATTTGTTTTGTGTGCAGTGGCGGATTTAAAATTGAATTTTATTAAAATGATAAGTAATTAGTCGGCAAAAGTTATTCGTGAGTCATGGTACCTACCTTTTACAGAGCCTTTTCGCTGTAATAACAACCGTTAAATCAACTGCAGCTGGTCGTATGGAGAAAGAATTAAAATAGGTACCATATAATTTAAAGTAGCATTAACAGTTTCTCGCAAACATTATTTATTAGGCTTGGCAATACATATTAATATATAAATATGTGACATAAAAATACAAAGTATAATATTATAATTTTTAAGAAAAAAAAGTCAAGCAAAACACCTGAAAACCGTCCCCGATAAATGACCCACTCTTCAAAACCAACACTGCGTTAAAGTAAATAATATGCTTAATGAATTATTATTATACTCTATACAGAATAAACTATAAAAATAGATTGGGTATTAGTAAAGTACGTATTTATGACTATAAATTATAATATTATTATTCTTTTAAAAATAATTTATTGGTTTTTTTTTATTTTTGCTTATGCCTAACCAGGTATAATAATAATATATAATATAGGTATTAGGTTCATTATCCTACGCATAGTAGAATAATAAATTATAATATCAAATACTTTAAAAATGTCAATTATAATTTTTAGGTAGGCAGGTAGTTGTTACCTATTATAGATTATGAATATAGGTGCCTCTACATTTTAAGACCATGTAAAATAGATATTTAAATTTTAATGAAAGATACAATTATCAGTAGGTATTTACTATTGAGTACTTACAGCTGTTCAGTGACATGTGTTTTTAGTCATATTATAAGGTAAATCTACTTACAATATAACGATAGATGTTATGTCAATAATATACGTTATCTTTGCACGTCACAGAATAATGATATTATTCAAATAACATCAAAATATTTTCTTAAAACGTTCATCATAGATAGAAGTAATCTTCAACACCTATAAATTTATTACAATATATATTTCCATAGGCAAAAATTAAATAAATATTCCTAATAACACATTGACGTACAGACATTTTTGATTCAGGAGGGGTGTGTTATAAAAAAATATTTATGTTTTATAAAAACATTTTCACTTTTTTGTATAGTGAAAAAAAAACCGAGGGGAATTCAACACAGCCCCCCTTTCCCCCTTGTTGTGTATGCCACTAAATAGCATGTATAATATAGGTACCTAAATATTTTATACACAGGGTTATTTACCGAGCATGATCATCGTTGTTTTACGCTTTAATACCTAATGAATTTATTCAAATTAAGATTTTTAGAATATTGAAGTCCTTTTACATAAGAACCATATTTTGAATAGCATTTATATAATTTAAGGAGTGACCTATAATGGCTTAAACTTCTTTTTTTGCAAATAAGAACCAACCTATTCCTCTGTCAACTGCTAAGGTAGAATAGTTTTTTGAAAAATAATTTAGATGTAGATATGTATAAATCAAAGTTTGAACGAATTCTGTGTTATTAAAATATATTATTTACTAAGGATAGTGAACTTATAAGAGTGACTTATGGACCAAAAAAACCAGACAAAACTGGAGGAATTTTGTTTGGTGGATTTAAATTTTGAAAAAGGATTATGATTGATTAACAAGTTTACTAGGTTTGACCAGAGGTGATTTTTAATATTCCAATTATTGTTAGTGCCATAAATCATAATGAATAATATAAATACAAAAATATCATATTTTTATTCATGGATATCAGTATATCACAACTGCAAAAAATAGATATTCAAAATCGCCTCGACCGAAGCCTAGTAAACTTCGTAATCAATGAAAATCAGTTTTAAAAATTGAAATCTGTCAAACAAAATTCCTTTGGTTTTGTCTACCTTTTTGATTTTGGTCTAAAACCCACTTTTTTAAATTGAAAAAAGTTTGTCTAATTGAATATTATTGACAATGCTTGAGCTTAGGTAAGTAAATTGACGGCAAATATAAACAACGACGGACCTACCGGGCTACCTACCTACTGTTATAATTTGGAACATTTCTAGAAAATATTGACGTAAAACGATTACAGATTAAACTCATACATACTAATGCCCGTTTGTCGTTTACTATATCATGCACACACGACACACTTACAAGTCACTTTAATGTCATCATGTTAAATTGCCTATATGAAATTAAAACACGACTGACTGGAACCTCTTAAAAAATATTTTACAAAAATATGTAATAGAATTTGTGTAATTTGATAATTAATCTAGTAGGTATATACTTTTTTTTATAGATATGTACCAGGCTACCTACCAACTTATTACCCAAATTATAAAATGCTAATAGATTATTATTATTTACCTACTATTATTTTAAAATCATCATAACTTACTTAGGTACTGAAAGAAAAAATGAGATGAGCATGCTTGGTATAACACTCTGTTATATATTATATACACCTATACATATATATTATAATATATACCAAGTTACACTAGCTAAAGTGTAGATAGATTTTTTCATTTTAAGAGGACATGATGCCCGCATGTAATTGTCTTTGTCTTACAAATGTATAAATTGGTAAATTTGCATTCAGCATAACCCACTTGTGTTAATTGGTATATTATACGATTTAATGCAAAGAACATTATCTGTGTTCTCAAGTCATTTATTTTTGATGTTTTAAATAATTTTAAATCAAATTATAAGTACTTACGACCTACGTACATAAACTTTAATTTAATTTAAAAACGCTATAAAATTAAAACAACAAAAAATACCAATGAGAAAAGAGTAGACAGAAATAATATTTTTACCTTTACATTTGATAATATTAAAACTATCTAGTTGCAAATTTACAGGGGGGGGGGGATGTAATTAAGAGGATCAATCCCCCCCCTAGACCGTATATAATATGCAAAGGTTTTTAGAGTCCTAATTTAAGGCCTCTAACTTTAAAGGCGGAGCTACTGGATAAAATCATACACCCCCCCCCCCAAGACAAAAACTTAAATATGCCACTAAAACTAACTACACAAGATGGGTTTTGCTGAACAAAAATTTTGTTGTAAGATAGAAACACGTGTAGACATTGTGTTCCCTCTAAATATCTGAACTGCAATAATTATATCAATAATATTTTTAACTATTAAATATTATTTTTCATAAGTGTTATGTTTGTGGTATTTACTAGATTTATAATTAATGATAGAGTTTAGTTTATTTTGTCATTTATTAATTATACAGTAAATTATATTACCTATATATTATATAAATCAATAAAAACAGCAACATTTTATTTAGATAGTATTTTTTAAAATCATATAGTTTATAAAAATAATTATTACTATTGGTAAGAGCCAATAGGTAATCACTAATTTACCTACTATGAATCAATTTATTTATTGGTTTTAATTATTATTAAGTACCCAAACAATTCATAGAAAATTAATAATAACAATAGTCTAAACAAATATTAAGGTTATATACTTATTACCTACCCATTTAAAAAGTTTTAATTATATTATAAATGACATAGGTATGATTTATTATACAAAATAATACACCCAAAAGCCCCTTACTTACTTATCTATAACACTAAAATTAGTAATCTTTTATATTTACTTAAACAATAATTAATACTATAATTTATACTTAATCCCCTACCTGTTATTTATTTTGTTATTATTTTACTATTTAAAATATTTTTACTCTATGAATTATTCAAAGTTTCTAAAGAAATCTTTAACACCACAGTTATAATATTACATTGTGTATAGTATAAGGGTAAAAATAATTTAACAACAATTTTAATTGTTTATTTTTTATTAAATTACATTATAAAATGTATAAATATAAAAAGTCTTATAGTTATTAATGTTCATTTTTAATATCCTTTTGTTATGATGTATTAAAATAAGGTAATTATTAAGCATATAGTATTATATTGTATAACCAATGAATGTTTTATTAAGATACATATACTATACAGTATACAATATAATGATCAATATGGACATAGAAGTAGAACTAATATCTTCTATTCATTGACAACATTTAAAAAAATATATGTACTTAGTTCTTTATCAATAAAAAAATACATTAATTTACCTATATAGTATGTATGTATTCTGTTATTTATATGTAGTGATCATTTCTGAAACCCTCTATAAACAATTACTAGTTAGGACATGTAGCTTGTTACATGTGTGGCGTTACAGTGTGGCTAGATAGGCCAAGTAGGGTGTAAATGTGTAATAAAAATAAGTATGTAGGTACATTAAGTACTAAGTACAATATTCAGCATACAAAATATAATTTCTATACATTTGATTTTTATTTCTTGATTTTTTAATATTTTAAACAGCCTATATTTTGGGATTATAGCTAAATATTCTAGAATTGATGAAAAAATATATTTTGAGTTACAAAAATAAACAAAATCGATTTTAACATTTTCTTTTTTCCTTATTTTTTAAGGATTTTTTTTAAGCATCATTATGAAATATTAATTAAATTAAACAATGTATTACTATTATTTATTTTTATTTGAAAGTTTTATAATGGTATGAAAAAAATATAATAGTACAACGGACGGTCAACTCAGTGGTGGGGTAATAAATTGTACACAACGCGGTGGCGGGCAGATAACAAACAAATTCAATGAGAAATTTGTAAAATCCATGTAGTTACTTTTACGACGACAATTGATAATTTGATTTATAATTATTTATATGAAAAACTAATAAGCAATAAAGTTATTAACACAAATTTATATTTCTCAGAAAAATATTCATTATTTAAATAATTATCAGATGATTAAAAACTATTTAAAAACTATTTATCTTTAAAGAATAGATCCATAGTATTTTGATATATTTGATTTCCTAAACATACAGGGTCTTCTTTTTTTAATGAAGCTAATACATCCAAGACTTGCCTAAAAAAAATCATAAAATTCAATTAAACAGGAACTTACTACACATTATGAATTTTTGAACATAAATAAAATCATAAGAATATTAAATATTTTATGAAGTCACCTAATAGTTGATGGTTCATTTCTTCCTTTGACCATAGAACCATCAATAAATTTTTCTTTTTTCACTGAATTAAATTTGGTTTGTACGTAAGAATATGATGGATGTGTTTGTTTTATTTCACACCATGGGCAATCTGTTTCCAGCATCAAACGATTGGTAGGCAATTCTGATATTGTTTTTAAATTATCATCTGTCCGCAATGAACTATAAAATTTAATTTAACCATTATACATTTTTAGTTCAGAAAACTCGGTGCCACCAAAAAAAAAAAATTAACAAATATTTTACAAGTGGAAAAATGAACAATTTATTGTGTAAAAATAATTATAATTCAATGAAAGTAAAAATATTATTATTTTAAACGTTAATAAAATTAGTATAATTCATAATCAAGAATTACTTTTTAATTATTACTTATTAATATGTACATATTATTATATTAGATATATTGATTTATAAAAATATTTTCAAAATGTAAGGTACTGTTTCTGATTTGCATATTCAATAAAATCTAACAATTAAACTTAATTTGATTAAAAGTCTAGAAATTTTAAAATTTTAAATACATTTTGTATAGTTAAATACCATGTATAAAAAAAGTACAATAAACAAATTAAGTAACAAAATATTTTATGACACTTTAAAAAATTACTTGTTTTTTAGTGTTTTGCTTACCATCCATTGATACCAATATAAAACCCCAAGTTAATTATGTCTTTGGCCTCGTTTAAACTTCCATCAAAAGAATGCACAACGCCTCCTGATTTTATAAAATTGGGATTTCTCTTCAGTATATCTAATAATGTAGGAGCTGCATCACGGCAGTGTAGAAATAATGGTAAGTTAAAATCTCCACTTAATTTTAACTGCATTTCAAAATATCTAAAATAAATATAACTTATAATATGATACTTAACAGTAATAATGTGATGCAACAAACTTTTCTTGGATCTCTTTGGAGCAAAAATGCAATCGTTGATTATCAAGTCCACATTCTCCTATTGCTACTACTTTTGACCGATTATTTTTTAACAAGTCTCTTAAGCTATTTAAATACACTTCAGGATCCTTGGCTTTAGTAAACTCATCACAACGTGTTGGATGACAACCAACAGTGCAGTAAAGATTTTCTATAATGCTTGTCAAGATTAAAAAATGTATTAAATTATATTGTAAGTAAATAATATACCACTCAATGATGCTATCTTTAAAGCTTCAATGGAATCATCTAAGCTGCCGCTAGTTATAATAATCTTTTTAAGATCATTTTTCCAAGCACGTTCCAAAACATCTTCTAAATCTTCTTTATGCTTTTTATTACCATTGTATATTCCTTTAAACATGGGATCTGTCAAATTTGCTCCAATATCTGAAATTAAATCATAAGTAATCAACATAGAGGTCTATAAGGTCTATGGTAACCAATAAATAAATAATCTATCAGAACATTTTTTTTTATTTATAACATACTATAAACCCACCAAATGGCGGCCCTGTGGACAAATTTTATTTGGCATATTACATTTTTACCGACATCTGCAATTTTGATGGCACGCAGTGCCGCAATTAGCGGGGGTGCTGGGGGTGCATGGCACCCCCAAAAGGGCCCTATAATTGTAATTAGGGGGCCCTTTTCAGACATAAAAGATTTAAGATTTTAAACTAATATTCCAATTTACAACACATGATGAGAATTGAAATTTTTCGATGAGGATAGAAGAATTGATATAACTGAAGACAACTTTCGGGTGTCAGTGTTCTTACCTATTATTGATACTGCGTTGTCACAATTACAAGGAAGGTTTGAAGGAATGAAGACAGAACACAATAATTTTGAATTTTTAACTCCTTCTATGATACTAGATTCTGAAGAATCAGAATTGATAAAAATTGCATATGACTTTGTTCAGTTTTATCAAAACGATATAAGTTCTGATTTCCCTAGACAACTTTTATCACTTAAAGTAAATTTAAAAAATATGAAGTTGAAGACTATAAGAGATCTTAGTGATTTTTTTTTAGAAAATGATCTTTGTTCAGTCTATAGTGACATTATGACTACATGCATTATATTTTTAACACTATCAATGACTGTAGTTTCGGCAGAACGCTCTTTTTCTAAATTAAAACTTATAAAAAATTACTAAAGGAATTCTGTTAGCCAAGAACGTTTATCACACATAGCTGTACTGAACATAGAAAAAAGAAAACAAAAGAATTAAATATTGAAAAAATAATCAACGATTTTGCTCATAATAAAGCTAGGAAAAAGAATTTTCTAAAATGATAATATTTGTACTCTTTTCTATTCCAGTTAGTGAATAATATAATAAAATATAATTTTATTCTTTCAAATTTGTATTATAATACGAATGCTATTGTAATAAACTGTATTAAGGTACATAATGTTATGTTTAATTTATACTTAAAAATTAAAAAATATCAACTGAGATGAAAACACATATGGTTTTAGGCTTACATTTCGAATGGAGGCCTATGCATAAATTATTTGACTATTTTTGTAAGTAAAATTATTTAAAATAAAGTGATAAAAATAGTTTTGCTTTTTAAAATTTGTACTTGGTATGCACTATGTATAGGCATTGTAAGGAAAGCCAAAATAAAAAGATTTAGCCCCCTGATGTGAAACCAAATGTCTTTATTATTTTCGGGGTTTTTTTGTTACCAGGGGGTTTTAAGCCCACCCTTAATTGCGCTTTTGGTGCTATTCAATTTTGTAAAAAGGTTGAAATAGGGGGCCCCAAAATTTGACTCGCACCTGGGCCCTTTTATCTCTAGTTGCGGCACTGATGGCACGCAAACAATTCCCAGATTCTTAATATGACCTTTCGTTAAGGCTGGTCGATGAAGAAAACTATAGAAGACACGGCTACCAAATTTTTGGACAAGCTAGCATAAGCCAGAGTTCAACAAAATCAACCATAAACCAGCCATGACATTATTAGCCAAACTAAAGTTAGGTCTAGCCATAGATAAGTATACCTTTAGAGTTCAACCCTTATGTATTATATAGGTACTTAATAACTTACCGATGAATGGAATAGAAGACATATTTGTAAACCTCCTGAGCAGGTATGAGTATGACTTTAAATTCATTCAATAATCAATCATAAATCATAATATAATATCATATATCTATCTTAGTTCATGATTGACATTTGATAGTTTGATACCTATCAATCCGCATTGTTATATTATAATATTATATACTAGCTCTAAGTGTAACTCGGGGCTCGTTGGACTCACTGGGAGTGGGTACCGATTTTGGAGACAATGAATTATAAAAGTCGCAAATGTTGTAAGACGAAAGCTTAGAATTTGTGATAAGGATTAGTGATATGGATTGGAGATAAGGCTAGACGCTTTGGCGGGAATGTTAAAAGTTTGAGCGTCTAGCAATCCGTCACAAACGTTGTAAATGGATAGGCTGGATACGATCTCCAGGATCACCTATATACTATATAGAGTATACCTGCACATAGAGTGGTATGTGCCGTAGCATGACCGGTGCTTTATCTTATGTAAAAAGTGTAAAGTCGAAAACCGTGTTGGAGTTTCTAGCAAGTCAGTCATCTCAAGACAAAATCTATTAACTTTCAAGTTAGCCACTTAGGTAGGCAATCCGACTTCGTCGGATCACGGACAACGTGCTACAAAAAATCAGGTAGGCAATCCACCGCAGGTGGATTGCAGACCCGATGTCAAGCGGCTATAAGTGAAAACCCTATCACACAACTTACGAAATAATTTACGAAAAATTCAAACTATATACAATATACATACAAACAAATATGATATGTATTTATTGTGTGATATAATATAACAATGAACACTTTGAGAAAAGTGCAATTATAATTCCTAAAAAAAATTAACATATATAGGTAGATAGTTAGATACATACCTACTATTATATTAACCAATACAATAAGTACATATAAACACTACCTATAATGTATATATATTAATTTTAAAAAAAAAATGCAAAAACCTGCATGTTAAACTGTTAAAGTGTCTGTCAAGTCAATCATCACCGTTTAAGACGAAACTAAAATGAGCAATCCGTCTATCACCTATATATAGTAGGTATATCACATAGAGTGGTATGTGGCTTCGCATGTCCGGTGCCATTCCTTATGTAAAAAGTGTAAAGTCGACAACCGTGTTGGAGTGTCTAGCAAGTCAGTCATCTCAAGTCAAAATCGATTAACTTTCAATTTAGCCACCTAGGTAGGCAATCCGAAATAAAATACAACTATATTTATATAACAATCATGGACTTTTTGAAAAAATATGCAATTATAATAATTCCTAACAAAACAAATATAATATGTACCTATTTATTGTATGATATAATATGACAATGACTTTAAATAATAATAATGTACGATATGTTCCTGTATTATTATATTATTATTTAATTTATATTAAAAATAACGTGAAAAAAAATGCAAAAAAAATCCGGTTCCGGGCGGCCGTGTAGACCTTATGGCAATGCCAGATTCGGCGCTCGGGCAGCGTACGACGGATTCGAACCCGGGACCTACGTGTTTCTACCTAACGCCTAACCTACTTGGACACAGTTTTGAGATGTGAAATATGATCAAAACATCAACACTTAAGCCGTGCGTCTACGGAGCGACGTAAACCGATATATTCGATGTACATCGATGTAATCGCATATAATTCGCTTGTAATACGCGCATCTCCCATATATATATTTAACGGGGCGTGTGAAAAGCGTTTTTCGTTAATAATTATTAAATCATAGGGAAAAATTAAATTATACATGTATATATACGGTCGGTCGGTCGCCGGCGTAATTTATAAACGCGATTGCGAGGCGAACGAACCGATTTCGGGGGAAAAGCCCATATAAACGGATTTAAAAAGACGTCGACTACACGATTCGGGCACAAACGGCGTGTGAATAGACGAAACGGTGGGAGAAAAGGAAAAAATCGGCAAAAAAGTCCAGTCGGGAGTGTATTTTTCGATCGACATTGCGACCGCTTCGAACGGCGCACGAATATAAACCACACACCGGCGGCTTCGAATTAAGTATAAAAAAGGACGGAAAGGGTCGAAATCGTGTAAAAACAGCTAATTTTCCGAAAATTTCAAAAATCGGCGAAATGATAGGAAAAGAGGTGATAACGAAAAACGTTTAAAAACCGACTGCCGCCGCTGCGAAGGTACGCGATTGGTCGCGCTATAAGGAATCGACGGGACATGGCCGGCGGGCTGGGGAAACGGAGCGGTGCTTCATTTTTTACTCCACGGTTTCACAATAACTGCGTTTTCCGTTCCACGGGTTGCTTGTAGACAGCTGATTTCCTTGTCATTTTATATATTAGGATGGTAATATCTTGTCTGTGGTGGTAGTGTGTGATAGTAAATAGTGTGATAGTAGATTAGTAGAATACATGACACATCCATGCGCAGAGCATGACACCACCATGACTTTTTTATTATATTAATATATTATCATTATGCATATTATAAAATATAAACCAAACAAATGAAAGAAGCAACAAATCAAAAACTCAAAAATATCAATTGAAATTCGCTTTACCATTGAAATTAGAAAAATGTTTTACGGAATGGGACATCGGTTTCCGAGTATATGGAGGGAACATTTCATATTTTGTTATCATTATTATCATTACATTTCAAACGTAAACATTGCCCTGTTAACATAATATGGAAGCCAGTTTCACCGGTTTGTATAGCATGGTATAGAAATTCGGCTATCTAGTTGTTTTATATATCTGTGGTGGACACTAAGAGCTAGAGCTAGTACGCTTCTAAAATATGTAAGAAATAATCATTATAATTATTGTGTAAAACAAGTTTGTTGAATTGAAATCTATAGACTTCATTCATCTAAACCATGTGATATGATTCCAATAGCGCTAAGACCGGTACCTAGGTATCGTTTTGCTCGCGTAGGTTTTTATTCAACAAAACTTATTGTTAAATTACGATTCAATTGTACCTATCTGCTACATAATATTATTACTAGCTGGCTATACAAGCTAACTATACCTACTGGCCACAATAGGAGCTATAAAAATAACACTACCTAATATCGTTTATTTGTTTTTGCAAACATTGAAAATATCCATAATTAAGTGTTTACCTCCACAGCAAAGTTCGTAATTTTCAGTACTTAATTATAATTAAAAACATCCCTCGACTTGTTATGTAAAACTTGTCATGAATTACCTATTTTTGCACCATCATTCTGAAGACGTTGATTTAACTAGGTTAAAAAAATTGTTATTTGTTATACCCACTTAAGCTCGGTAAACTTTAAGCGTTGTACGGGTGCGTAAAACACCGAAAATCGTGAAGTTCGTAAGGCTATGCGATAACAACTTATGATTTCCGTGAGTTAATTTTTGCATCATAAATCTTATAACTGGTTGCAAATCATAGGTTTCCAAAAAAAAAAAAATTGAAAAATTTGCTTGGGTGCTAAACTATATGGTTTAGACACTAAATTAAAAAAATATTCTAGGGTTTTAAGAAATTGTCTTCAAATTATCACTTTTAATTATTTTATATAGTGATATTATTGGTAGGGTAAGTTAAATAGAAGAAGTTACATAAGTTTTTTCACCTGTAACAAATAAAGTAAAAAATATTTATATCCACAATCATTTCTATAAAAGAACACACGATTTATCAATAGACCGTTTATGGGCTGAGTGTAGAAGTTCTATGGATTTATCATATTAAAAAATATATTTTATATCATCTATGGCAATCGCCAATTGTCGAAATTCGTCCGCGACGATTAACAATTCTAATAATTTTAGTGCAAAAAAAAATAACAAGCCATCAATATAGACAGATAGTTCGTGAAGCCGTATATATTATAATGTAAGTTTTAACACGAATTCGCACAATTCGTTATGTTCAGGTAATTTTCATAAAATATTTCGATAATTTCAAGTTACAGTTCGGAACGAGATGAAGATAGGTAGCTGATTCTTCGGTGGCGTCACGTAGATACTCGACGTTTGCATTGTTGATGATGCACTCTAGCTAGGTTTCACCGGAAGAGTCGATGTTTCAGCGTAAGTTTGTTTTCATATTATTTTGGGATAACTTTATTTTTAGCATTATTATTTTTAGGAATTTTAATAATTAAAAACATAATATAGATAACGTAATGTTGTAGTAGAAGCTGGAAACTGTAGTACCTACCTATATTCTAATTTATAATCCAATTAATGTAATTCTTTGAATTTTTTAAATTTTAATGTACCATTTATTATGCCTACACAAAACACTTACCTTCCAAAATTGAATTTTTCACAAAATTTGTTGTTTTAACGATAAATGACAATTTTAGGTCCCTATTATGGTGAAAGTACCTATTTAATACAAACATACAATTATTATTCGAAAATACAATTTCCTATATTATTATTTACTAAATACAAAGAAACTTAAAAACAAAACTATGATCATTGATTACATACAGAGTACCTATAATATATTATGCATGGAACACGAAGGTTTATTTTGACTACCTACTTATCGTGTACGCATCAAACACAAAATAGAAACAATAACAAAAAAATAAGAAACTAAATATACATCATAGTAAAATGAAAATATTCATCACTCCGATCAGAATCTAAAATATAAATTATAGGTACACGATACAATTAAATTAACATAATATTAAATAATAATTAATAATTTTTTGATCAGCAGAATTCGTAGAAAATGTTAGACTTGGAATTTTACAAATCTAGTTGGTATTATGGTAGGTACCTACTGTAAATTTGATGTACTTAGGCACTGTACATCTTTATGTTAACTCTGAAATCCAGGAATCACATTTTCATTTAATGATTTTTAAAATACAATATTACCTATGCTTTTAAAAAAAATGAAATGATGTAAGAGTATGACATGACGCTGGTATGACTAAGGTAAATTAATTTTGTTTAGGAAAGTGGAAAGAAGGGACTATGCTTTTATAAAAATATGCTTGTACTTCTGATATATATTCACCATATTAGTAAATAATTAAATTAAGAAACGAAAATAATAATTAAAATAATATATCATATTTAATT